AACAACTGCCATCAGTTTAATGTGATGCCCAATAAAACCGTGGAAGCCTTTCATGACATCTACCAAGTTCCATTGTTTGGCATTGATCTACGTGGATAAGTTGATTCAGTAATCTCCCTTTCGACTCGATAGGGCATCAAGGGATGCTTGTCTGGAAGGTTGAAAACAAATTTTCAGCAAGGTTCAGACCGCCTTGTGCCTTATTTACAGAGACCCCTTCTCGGTCATATACAGATCAAATGGGCCTCTGCGGTTTTGGGTTCTTTATCCAGTGGGAAAACGAGAGGGTGTCGAGAACGCTCGCTCGCTTGCATCGATTCCACACTCGACTTTGAGCATTTGAAAATCAGTGGTGGAATGAGAAGAGAGAGAACTCAATGATGAAAAGGGAAGAGAGAGAGAACAACTTGAGAAGAACCTCATCTTATTGAGCAAGAAACTTTTAGCAAGCGAACAATAGTGAGACCCTTCATCTGTAACGCAAATTTTGAGTTATGAAGTTTCGGAACTTTCGACTCGAAAGTGTTTACCGGCTTGCGAATCATGCATCTCAGTGTTCATCTGCTTGACCTTCTATGAGGTTGTCCGGGAATTTTTGAGAAAATTTCGCTCTTTCAGTCTGATAGTGTTGTGAGCGAATGCGCCAGTGCAGAGTCCTGCATCAGAATGCTATGGGCGTCACGACTCCCAACGCCATTCGCTTCATCTTCACCGTTGCGGCTGCTCTATCAGTCAGACCGGGGATGAGACCGATGCTACGTAAACAAAAAGCCCTCCAATATTACCTTCACTAGAAGTCGATCGCTTCTCAATGTGGAAGTTCAGTTTCGATGTTGCGTACGCCCGCTCTCTGGGTAATCAGTTTATTCTAATTCCCACGCGAAGTGATCGCGCCTAAAAATAAAGCGAAATCCAATAGAAGGACAATGTTTATTGTAACTATTGGTTCTTATCGCCTATGGTTCTTTATATGTATTAAGTGGACTGACTGAAACTCTCAACACCTTACGGACACCCTAGTGCTTTCCTTCACTGCTCCCTGTTGTCTCTTTCATTACTTCAAATGCTTCACGAATTCTAGAAATATGCCCTACTTCAACGCTGTTGCGGCGCGCAGGGTCGCTTTATTCTTCACCAGTTCCGAAAGCGAGTTCATTCAACTATTTCTAGTTTTGGAATAATCATTTTTTAGGTTTACTCAGTCTGCGAAAAAAATTTCTTTGAGTATTCAAAAATGTCACAAAACTTAGGAAATGCACCAACTTTGCCTTGGTCTACGCTTTCCTTTTTTTCATTTTTCCTAATCTTCAGAAATGCGGACCCCGCCTTTCTATAGCGAGGTCCGCACTTCTGATTTTATGAGGCCCCTTTTCCAGATTGAATGTCTGGTCGGGATAGATGCCAGCCGTCTTCAAGTCCGCAACGTGTCTAGCCAGCGCTGCTTGAGGCGTCCTGCAGACCGCATTCCGGGCACCTCGGGCTCGAGACCACTTTCAAGGACGGTGCCAAAATTCACAGCAGTAAATGACCGTACGGTCGGAGGCGAAATTCGTGCGGTTTCTCGGCTACGGGGCCTGCACCAAATCTCTTGCGTATGTCGCCATTTCGAACGCGATTCATACACGTGACGCCAGCCGTCCAGCGCAACATCTTCATCTCCATCACTCCCAGACGGGCTTCACATTCTTAAGTCGTAGGCCAGCATTCAGCGCCGTATATCTTGACAGGTCGGATGAAGGTTCCATAGGTCTTCAACTTATGACGATCTGATATCGTTTTGTCGCCAAAAACGCCGGTACGAAGGAGGCCACTCAGGTTGTGACGCGCTTTTTTGAAATGGTTTGTTTCATGTTGTAGGACCACAAAAATGGGCAATGCGTTCCTGGGGACGCCACAAAAATGAATAAAAGTTTGCTAAGCAAAAACTGAAAAAAACGCCGACGTCCCTATTTACTGGTATATGCACGCACCATTAACAACTATAAATTTCAAAAAAGGTAGGACAGTTATATTGCACAACATCTATACCTGGGAAGTTAAAGTGAAACAAGTTCTCTTACAAGAGTTACGGCGGGAAATAACCAGCTCTTTAATGAAAGCTTTACGATGGGAACCGAGAGAAGCCCAGGATGCTCGCACACCGTAGAGACACCATGACGTGTTTAAAGACGTGCTGAAGCCGACAGAGCGAAATTTGCGACGGTTGGTTTTGCCGGTGACTTGAGGTGCGTGTTCATATGCCACTGTCGCTAAAAGGGTTGTCCACCATCACCAACGAACGCCAGGATTTTTTTTTGCTGAAAGTTCGTATTCAGGGGTAACTGGTTGCCGCTGTCACGATTCTGCACTTACTTTGGCGCTAGCCAGCTCATGGGTGCGGGTTGACAACGATTTCAACGCAGAAAAGCTCCTACACCAAATCGGCGGCAAGTTGGGTCATGGTCAAGAAAGAGTATTGTTTGTAAACAGGATATTGAGTAACCACCGTGGCCCAACTTTCATCATGAGTTTCTTCAATAATGTTTCAAAAGCGCAGTAGTTGAGTGTGGCCGGTTGGTGGTCTATTAGTGTATAGACTAGTCCTCAATTGGCACAACCCGGGTTATATACATCATAACGCACGCAGGTACACAAGACGACGGAAATCTGAAAAATGTGAAACTTCGTTCCCGGGAGGATAAAATCCACAAATTAGCTTACGGTTCGTGAGCCCATCGTACTTTGAGCTTATAAACTATGCATGCTCAAAGTCACAGTCAGAACGGAGCCCATTATGATGGTTGAAATAGACCTTTGTTGTCGATTTTTTCACTCCTTTTTTGGCATTCCCGTAGACGCATACCAAAAATGAAACTCATTTTGATGAGTTTTATATCAACCCGTAGAACATGCGACAAACCATTTCTGAAAAGTGCGCTATGACCTCCCTTACTAGACCAGGCTGCACTCACACGGGAGCTCACTTCTGAGTCCGGACTGCCATCAGACGTAGATGTTGATCCGAGATATTTAGAAGTTGTTGTACGCTCAACTCGTTGCCGCCGGCTCTGAGGGAACCGCTTTTGTTCGAGTCAGTTGACAAGTACTCGGTTTTCTTGACGTTCAATCTGTGTCCGAAGTTCGCCATATGCTCAGATCAAGCTTGCACGTGTTGCTCAAGATCCTTCTTATCCTCAAAAGTGACTATCACATCATAGAGAAGCGTCCAAGAAGCCGGCTTTTAGAGGTCCCGTGAAATGGCATTCGTGACGACAACGAAGAAGAGCGGGGAAAAAGCAGAGACCCCACCGTGATGGGGAAAGTGGAAGTGCCTACTGATTTCGCACGCGACTTGTTGGGCTGGAATACAGGATGCACACTCACTAAATAGTTCTTCGTTAACGCCGTGTTGTCGTAAGACGTACCATGAAACTCAGCCCGGAACACGATCAGATGCCTTCCTCAGGTCTAGGAAAGCTAGGTGGACATATTTCTGCTTCTCGCAATCTTTCTCCATCAGGAGGCTAGCGGCATGTGGGGCATGATTAGGCACAGCCGGTCATGAAGCCATACTGGTAGGGAGCTCGACGGTATCACGGATTCGACTGCCAACAAATCGCTTGAAAATTTCATATCGTGCGAGAGCAGACGAATTAGACGATTATTTGGGCGGTCTGCAGGCTGATTTTTTCCTTCTAGATCGGAACTGGGCTGTCTTGCTACCCTTCAGGGTTCTTCTTCTCTGCCACGAGCCGATTAAAGGACTTTGTCAACCATGCAATAGAGGGCCAGCAGTGCAGGTGACTTCTATAGGTCGGCGCCACGTCGTCGAGCCTCTTGCTTTGCCTGGCTTCATCTTCTTGAGATCCGCATCTGTTTCCTCTATGGTTATCTCCTGTACGGGACCACATACTGGTGAGCCATCAAAGGACGATCCTTCTAGTCGTTGATGCCAAGGAACTCCTCCACATTCTGGTGCTGGCGAGCCTTTGCAAGTCGGTAAATATGCCGTACGCCACAGCGCGTTTCCACCTTCTTGCTGACGTCTTCAAAGTGAGCGGCTTCCGCAGCAGCAAAGCCTTGTTTGCCGCACTTCTGGCTTCCTGACGTTTTCAAAAGTTGTCAGCTGACTTGTCCTCGAAGCCCATGTGGTGCGTGCTTGTCAGTTCTACGCCTTCCAGGCTTCGCTGTGCCGAGTGCCTCACCATTAGGAGCTAGTGGCCTAGAGTATCGATTTCATCATTTTCAGCAGCATTTTTCCAGGTTTCATCGACAGTTGTGACGGTTGTTAACAATGTAAGATCTCAGCTGCCTGTTTTTCCTCCGATAGCACTAGGTAATTCTCTCCGGACCGCATTGCTGGACCTGTTTTGACCTAATCGATGATGTCTGCAGACCTTTGCATCTGTGATAGGTTCTTGATCGCGATGCCTGACGAGAACAAATTCAGTTTGTGTTTTAGCACTTCCGCTGTAGACGGCGATTAGGTGGGAGTCGCGTCTACGGAGCTTGGTTTTTACGATGGCGGAATCGACTCAACGTGTTCCATAACCGAAACCACAATAACACTTGTAACCCTCTTCCGTTGCGCCTAAAGTCTAAAGATCGCCAGCGACAATGACTTTATTTGACGGCATCTCAGCTGTCTTCTCCTCAAGCAGAGACCAGAACTCAGCCTCCGATAGCACGGTGCATCCTGAGTTTGGTTGCCCCTGATGCCGTCCTTGCATCGGAGACTCTCGTATACTTTCCACACCCCCCTGGCCTTGCGAGCGCGCGTCGGCTCCCGCGGACGCCAGAGCATGCCTTGGAATTTGTAAAGCATCTTGAACGTGAGCGATGTGACATGGGCGTTTGGAGGCCGTCCCGACTAAGGCCTGCCACCTGCTTTCGGATGTCCGCGGTCAGCCCAGGCGCACGAGCGGGCAGTCCCCAGGCGTTCACCGCCGTTCTACTTCTCTTTCTTCTCTTGTATATATCTGATTAATTAACAGGTTTTTATCATGAACGTGGTACTTTAGATTGGTTACTTCCCCTGTGATTGTGTGCGCCTCATCGATGACAAGCGCCTTCTTGGACATCTGTCTCCCAGCAACAAGGTCAGTACAAGTGACTAATGCTCTCACTTTTCCCACAACTTCTGTGCAACACTTGCTTTCGCTTATTTTCCTGCAAAGGTGACAGAATCTCTCCCGGCACATTCACATCAGACGTCACTTGTAGCCCTATTTTAAGAAAGCCACACCAAGATCCTTGAAACCCTCACAATATCCCTTTCCTCCAGACATAACATGAAGTTCAGGGCCCTTACGATCTGCACAAAGAGCTGTGGCATCGCTTCGCTTACATTCAACAGCAGCAGAGTTCCTCATATAACCACACCCACTTTTCGAACCAATATTCATGGTTGAAGAACATCGGAGACTTCGCTATTGTCCGCAACACTACGACATTTGGCATCCCGTACAATCTCAGAATCCTGCGAGAGTCGTTCGGTGGCTTCGTGCTACATTTGAAAAAACCGTAAATTCGTAATCGTAAAAAAAACTGGTTCCGTGTCTTCTTTCGAGATTCAGAGAGTTGACTCTTTGTTGAACTGGCCAAATCGTTCAATCTTCCGCTTCGTTCGTGAAGACAATTCGATCGAGTCATCCTCGAAATGCCTCCGTGCAAGGTCCGCACTGGTGCAGAGTGTCGTCACTCGAAAGAGCGAGATCAAGCGGCCATAGACGCGTGACCAGGGCACATCCTTAGTTGGAGATTTTGATCGAATGCGTACGACCCCCTCCCAAAAGGTGACTTGATACGATCCCCTCCCTAGTTCCCTCTTTTGATACGATCGAGTTGTCGAGCGAAGGGTGGGGTGGGGGAGGGAGTATATTCGCCTGCGAAACGGGAAAACCGGCAGGAAAACACGAACTTCCTTCCCCATCCTAGCTGCGACTTTCTTAAATTTCACCAACTTCCCACCATTTCCCCGGGATTTCCCGAGAACTTTCCTACTTTTTCCCCATAATTTTGCTGTCGAGCGGGCGGGATGAGGGGAGTGTATAGCACATATGAAACGGGAAAACCGAGAAAATTCGACACCGGGAAAATTTTCGGGCAAGTACGACCCCCTCCCTCTTCGAACAATGAGCAAATACGCCTCTCCCCCTCCCCTTACAGCGTCCATGAGACAAGAAAAATCAACTGTAAAAAAAGTTCTCAGACCACGCCCCATCCCCTACCCTCCCTCCTGCAACTCAATGCGACCCCCCCCCCTCTGTTCGAGAATCCCTAATGAAATGCGCGTACCTCTTTTGTGAATCTCCAGTTCAAGGCAACGACTTACACACACGGGATTAAAGTGTGGTTTAAGTGTACGTATTTAGTTGCTGCAGCCGTAGGCGATTTCATATGAACGTCACGAAGATTTTTAGCGTGTCCTCTTTTTTGCGAGGCCAATAATCGCTCTGTTTTTTCTGTGCACCTTTCTGAAAAGAGTAAGTCAGTAGCAGCTAAATTTGCTAAGCATAATGCGTTTAGACTCTACTGCTCTAATCCAACAGTGATGCAGTCGCTTTGGTGCAAAAGCCCGTCGTACACCGCTCAAAGTAACCCCAATTCCATGCATGATTCGTTAGTACTGGTCTGCCTCTTGAGGTTTTCGAGTGTATCCTTTATTCAAGCGGCCTAGCGTTGGAACGGGTCTTTTTCAGAGGCCTAAACGCGCTGCAAGGTAATGAGATGAACACTACCCTGTTAAGCGCCCGACCAATACTAGCAGTTCTGATGACCTACGACGTACTAAGAAAAATCCTACAAAGGACGAAAAGCGCTTTCACTCGCATTCCACGATGGTGAATGTGATGCTCCTTGTAGCGCCACTAGGAATTGCCCGATACTGCGAGCTGAGCTAACCGTGGAAATTTGAAACGTAGGTGACAGGCCTCCGTGACGGGCAGGCCTACAGCTAAGCGTCGATGCCATGTGCTTTCAATGCCACGGCGTCCGCCGCGCACTCGCATGGCCCGGCGAGTGTGGAAAGTATGGTCTACGGACAACTTGAACTCAATCCCCTTGAACGCGTCAATCTTCTCTTTTTCTCTGCACTCTCTCGTCCATAGAACCTATGGCCGCTAAGACTTCGCTCACTCTAGCTTTTCACCGCCTATAAGTACCTTACCCACCCCGGACCATGCACGAAAGTTCAAGATGTCACGTAACTAACAGGACCATGCACAAATGTTCAAGATATTACGTAACCGCTAAACTATGCCATGTGTATTCGGACTCAATGTCACGGCGTCCGCGGAGCTGACGCGCACTCGCAAGGTATGGCAACTGTGGAGGTATGCGAAAGTCTCCGATCGATGCAAGCAGGTTACAGCATCGTAATGTGTGAAATGGCAGTGTCAGTACGACCCCCCCCCCCGGAAAAGATCCTGGTACAACCCCCACCCCCCTTCAGGCTCTGATTGATTGCTCTGACAAGTCTGCAAGCGGTGAGGCCGCGTTGTGATTCCATGGCAAATTAGAGGTGGAGCAGATCTGTTGGCCGGATGGGAGTCGCGGGGCTTTCTCTGGGGTGATAGCTTTTTTTAGGTTTCGGCTTTTGATCGGAAGGCGGCATATTGAAGCAATGTTTCTTCTGTTGCGTTTTCTACCTACAGCAAATTAAGCCTTCTCGGGTTCGTGAAATATTTCAGATGGGTGGGTCGCGTTAGTGGTAAATCGCGGTCGCGAGCGGGTTTCAAGCTTCAGAGAGAGAACAACCTTTTTCAAGCGCAGTTGTTTTTGCAGAACTAAAACGTCATTAAAACGGCCAATATTTCCTCTATTCACCAAGCTGTACACTTTTCCTAAAGACCCGCTAGTTCAGAAGACATTTCAGATGGGTCACCCTCGAGCGGCGCTCTGAGCCACTCTAATGCTCGATTCCTTCTGTGCCATTATAAGGATACTTGTTCACAAACTATAATATGCCTTCAAAACAAATATTCCCTTGAACCGCGTCAGAGCATAATTTGATTATCGTCGATCGATTTGGTCCGAGCGTCCGTCGTGCATTACGCTTCTAGGCAAAGGTGGTGGAAAGTTGTAACTTCTGGTTTTAGGTTATTTTTTATACAAGCAGATGCTTCTTTAGGGTTTGGGAAGGCGATACGCACGAATCTGTTTGAGATGTAGTATTTAGTCACATACGTACTTGCGAGTTCATGCTAGCTATTGATATTGCTAAACGATTGTTTTAATATTTTGTAGTCCTCTTTATATCCGGGCCCTCTGCAGCTTCCCGTCCGCTCCATCAAACTTAACGGTAACACCTTCGTGCTGTTTAGTGCTCATCGACACTGCGTTCACGTTCCTCCCTCCACAGCGACCATGTACGACCCCCCCCCCGTCTAACCCTATGGGTTTCGCACAACAATGCTGTACCCTGGGTGCAAGGACGGCATCGGGGGTCAGCTGAGGCAGTCTAGAAGTCGTCCAACGGAGAAAGTCCGAGTGGCAAAGTTGAAAGCTGGGACGTTGACTAGACGCCCATGTAAATTAGGGGAAGGCTTTGGAGCGTGGAAGAATAGATCTCTATGCTGTACAAGAGACAACACGTTTCAGTTGCAAGTCGAGAGACATTTTACACGGCTTCAGAACCTTTCTGTGTGGCAAGCCCGGGGCTAATAACCGCAACTGAAGTTATTCATCGGAGTTTCCGTGACTTAATAGCAAGCGTTGAACGTTACGATGACGCCTAAAGATTGTAATCGCTTTTGAGCAACGACTGTACCATAGACTCTCTGCGTATACTCCGGAAATTGGGTGAGGCGAGCGATCTGAGGACGAGTGCTAGTCCCAACTCGAGGAGAAGGCAGCTGAGATACCTTCAGAAGACGTCCTCGTTGTCACTGATGACTCAAATGACACGCAGGCGTTACGAAAGACGGTTCCAGTTGTCATTGTGGTTTCGGTTATATGTCGCATAACGCCGATGGCGAGCGAACCCTCGAATATGCAGAAGCCCATCACCTGGTCAACGTTAACTCGAAGTTCCGTGAAAGCGGCAACCATCTCATTAGCTTCTACAGCGGAAGTACCAGAACACTATTCAGACCGTGCCGTACGAGACAGATAACATCGCCCACTAACCTGTACGTTACGGATCGCAGCGTCCAGATCGAAATAGGTCGAGCGGTGTGGTCTCGAGAGAATCGAATGGTGGTATTTGAAAGAAAGGAGGAGCTGTGATCTCTCGTATTCGGCTACAACGTCACGACTGTCGACGAGACGTGGAAGATAGTGTCAAAGTGATATATGAGGCCGCCTACTGTCAAAGTGATACATGAGGCCGCTTATTCTGAACTCATCGTCACGAAGTCTGGAAGGCATATTGATCAGCAGCCGCGGCAGTGGACAAACAGTGTCAAAGAAACCACCGTGAAGAATAAGCGCTACCACACGCTTCTGGAGGACAAATCAGCTGACGAGTGGAGGAGGCACAAGGAAGTGAAGTGTACAGCAAGGCTGTGGCTTCTGCGATAGTTACCTGTTTCAAAGATGGCAATAAGGAACTAGATTTGGGATGGAGAACGACACCTTAACCGACTTCCACGGCTTGCCATCGCCAGACCGGAGATATAGAAAATTTCCTGACTTCAACGACCAGAGTGGCCACTTATTGATGGACCAAACGAGGGTGATGAAGCGATGGCGCAACTTCTCCGAGAATTTTTCAACCGCGGAATAAACGCACTTGCTCACCCCTTATGTCTCTCTGGTATACGGTCCCGTTTAGCAGATAAATGTAAAAGAGAAGGAAGCGGCTCTCAAAAAGATGAAGTCACGTAAAGCACTAGGACCCGACGACGTTGTAGCTGACCTGTGGAATTCACCGTGCTGGTGTCCTGCAGTATGGTTGACGAAATTTTTTCATCAAGTCGTTGCTGAGAGAAACAAGCCCAAGGAGTGGCAAAAGCGCACGATGATTCTAATTTGGAGGAAGAAGGGCATCTCACGAACCGTTCAACCACCGTCTAGTTCGCCTGCTGTCACACTACATAAGGCAGCGTTGAAACTTTGCGACGGCAGCGCTTCAGTCGCACATTTGACACCATCGATCACGCATGCTTTCAACAGCGTCGATCACGCAAGCGCTCAACTGCGTCGCTCTTTTTAAATGAATCGGGCAGTTGATTATCTAGACCGCACTAGGTGAAGCCCCGCCCCAGCACTCACGCTCACTCCTCAACGCGGTCATGGTTTTTCAAAACGTTTAATAAGGTGTGCTCCTTTTACTTTTTTCTTTTAAAGCTATATCGCACTCATACTCTAACTGGAAATGATTGGCTTCGACATAGAACTCCGGCCACTTTTAGTGATGTCATCGCAAGTCTTAGATTTGAGAATTTTTTCGATTTCATTCTTTTCACGTTCTATCTCCACAAAATGAATGCACCCGTAGATATGCATCTCTGGCACACTCTGGCACATTGCGCCCTGTCCCTCTAAACACGCCCACTTTTGCACCCTTTTGCGGAATTTTGATTT